ACATGTGTAAGATATAAATTCCTCAAAAGCAGTTCGGTCAACTCGATATAATAATTTTTGCTATTGTGCTTTGTTGTTTTATTTAGAAATAAATATAAAAAAAGAGGAAATACGAGGAAAGGAATATTTGGTGAGTTGGCGTTTATATAAATACTCAGAAAGATACTCAGTATGCTTGCATGCTTGTTTATTTTGTAACAACAAAAAATACAGTTAATTACAAAAAAAAAAAAAAACAATTATAAACTGCTGCAAATTTTGTCACCTTTATGTTTAACATAGTTGTTTGAACGTTTTACAAGTTTCACATAGAATGTAGGTTTAATAAAATTGTTTCCTGCTTATTTATGCATATACGTATGGACGTAAGTATGGTGACTTTTTTGTTATCGATTAGAACTACATGAAATTAATTGAATGTCCTTTAAGTGAGCATTAACATATTGCCTACGTGACGTATAAGTTTCTTGTAATGTAAGAAAAAAAAATTGGTTAACTGTAAAAACGACTGAGGCTGAATAAATCGGGAAGACCTCCCTGATTCTACGGAACGACTTTAAAAATCATCTATTCGGAGAGGCATTCTAAAATAAAAAAAAAAACTAAAAAAACCAATGAAATTTACTACGAGAAAAGAAGCATACAGAAACGTTAATAACAATATATTAGGGAAAGAATAGAAGAGCTATGTGATGTTTGCATATCTCGATAAATCTTCTTCAGAGTTGTGTTTTGATTCTTACAAGTGAGAGAACTCGATTGCTGCCGAATCAAAAATGTTTTCCAATCAAGATATAAACAACGTTGTATTTGTTTTACTGTTTGTCTGTGCTTGAATAACAATATATATGCAAATAAATACACTGAATAGGAAGATAGAAAATAATTAAATAAAAAAAAGAGTAACCCAAATAAATTATATTTAATTTTAATATATTTTTTACTAAATTATATAGTTTTATAACCCTTTAAGCCTCCTTTCAATATTTCCTAAAAATTTTTTAGTTATATTCTTTTTCATAATATTTATCTATTTATATGAGGCTAGAAGATAAAAGTATAGAATAAAATTACTTTACCAACATCCTGGACTTTTCGTCATTTGATGATATTATATTAACTGTATCAAATATGAGAATTTCGTAACGATATTTGACTTTATTTACGTTTGAATATATTATACCAATTTTACGCTCCAGAAGCCTTTCTTTCGATACTAACAAAAATTGTGCACTTGATCGACACTGCCGTGTACTCACTACTCACATACATCCGCGCCATAACCGGAAACTATATAGTCTAACGTAAAAACTACGATCGAGTTCACTGGATATCGAGGATCATAAACCCACTCCTTCATTGAGAGATACAGGTGCAATAAAAGCTGATTGTGCTTTGAACGTGGAACGCGGTAACGGTTTTGCTTTCGTCACATTTTGCTTTTTACTTTCGGAAGGGCAGAGTGCTGTTGCAAACGTTCGGACGTTTGTTAGAAGTGAAAGCTTGGCATTAGCATATTATACGTATGAAGTGAAAACAGTTGAATGAATCGTATTTCAGTTGGGGTGATTTATTCCTTCGACTATTATTAACAGCAGGCCAAATTAAAGTAAGTAGTCCTTTAAAAGCAGCCGAATAGTATGAGATTTCATCAAGAGACAATCGGATTATACGTTTTTCCATAGATGTTTTTAATACCTATGCAACAACTCACAATATTCAGAAAAATCAAGAACAATTTTAAGATTGAATTGGAGGTTGAGAAATTCTCGCTTTAAGAACGTATTTATTTTTTGCGAAATTGAAGAATATATAAATTTCCTAATGAGTACATTTATTACCTTTTATTATGAAAGCCGCGTTATTATATTCTTTGATAAGAAAATATATAAAGAAATTATTTTAAAAGAAGGAGCATGTGATCCGCTATACGGACTGAGTTGGAAAAAGCAAAAGAATTACCTGAACGTAAAGATATACAAATAAAACATTAAAAGAGGTAAACGTAAAGAGGGTTTTATAGCATCGTTTGAAGGAATGAATATATTTGCTCGAGTAGCAAAAATTTTAGGAGAGAGTAGAAATTAATCCGAAAATTCTTGAATTGTTATACGAACTCATCGAAGACTGACATCAAGTCAGTGTTAGTGAAGTACTTTTTTGTTAACGCAAACGCTTGTTTTTTTTTTTTAAATGTATTCTTTAAAACGGTTTTCTATGGTATTATAAAAATTAAAAGAAATTAAAATAATACGGTATAAAATTAAAATTAAATAAATAACATTTATATGTGAAAGAAGTCATTTGTAATTCTGGTTCTATGTTTCTCTCTTTTTGATTCACATATTTATTTACATACAAGACGTGAAGGTTTGCTAATTCCCGCAACGCTTCGCAAACGGATTAAATTGAATTTCCACCGTTAAAATATTGCAGAAACCCCAATATGTTTTGGGCCAACAACGCTGAGGTACATCTTGACTGTTTCCTGTCAAAATTTGGGCGAAAGATTTTTTCAATTCCAGACGTGGCCTAATCTGACGAAATCTGTTTAATGTTGTTTATTTCATATCTTGTATATTGCACTTTGAATCTCTGAATTTTCTATCCGTTTGGGTAGTGTTATTTTTCTGACGGATGTAATTTTTTTTTTTTTTTTCGTTGTAATCACATATTCTCCGTTTTATATAAATTTTGTTATCTAGAAGAACTCTACAGCATACTCTGAATAATGTATAGCCTTTTTGCCACAGTTCGATTACTATTATAGCCAAATATTTTTTTGCACATTTGCTTTTGATGACTATTTGACCTTGCATAAAAATATTTTCTGATGTGTCGAATCTTGCCAAAGTCTTTACATCAAATCATTGATTTCCTCTGCATATACATTTTCCTATTCAATCCTCTTTACCTTTACGTCCATAACTAGGGGCTATTTGTGTTTCACCGTTCAGTTTTTAACTGTTGAAAATAAAAAAAAACTTAAAAGAGTTTAATGACTTTGAATGAAGTTACGTTAGGCAATGTTGGGCAATTTTTGATTAGACCTTTCTCGATTACTTCTACTAATGTTTGCTCCAAACTTTGTATCATAGATAAATATTTTATGTTTGCGTTGATGTCGTAGCATCAAAATGAAACGGCTTTGAGGAAATTGTATATGAATGGAAAAGTTTTGCGTTTTTTCATACTTTCAATAGTTATTGTAAATGTTTTAAAGCAGAGCATGTGAAAATGATTAAATTGGCCGACTTCGCTTGTAAGACTGGCGTAGTTTGAAGAAAAGAAGAGAGAATTCATAAAATGGGCTGCGTTTCTCTTGAGATGAAATGAGAAAACTTCTCACTAAATTACTTGTAGATACGACATCTAGCAAGTGTATAAATCTGAACTGTGGATTTGAGACACAAAAGGCGCATCGACGCAGTACGTAGTATATATATTGACTGACATCTGCATGACATTTTATTACCGTCTTATAACAAGTGTTAATAAGTATAAGTTCATAAGTGATAAAATGGGTTTGCGTAGCATTATATTGTTTTGATGTCTTGAATATATTGAAACTTATCCCAATTATAGCACTGTCGAGCGACTAGGCTTGAAATGTGGAATTATTTTGAGAATAGCAAGCGTAAAAGCTCAACGTGATGGTTCTAGAGGGTTTTAAAGTTTGATGAAAAGGTTAATATCAAACGCTATGAACAACAATTTACCGGTTTGAACCGTTGGAGGTTCGAAAAATGAGTACAACGACAAACAAGTGAGAAAATTATATGTGGTCGTGACCGAATCTTTTATACCCGTCAGCATTATTCTATAAAAAGGCAAACAAAGTAAAAGAACCAAATTTTTATGTTCTATAATATGGAGTGAGAGCAGTTAATTTTTGCTATTTTCAAAATAGAAGTTTTTGTCATATGGGCTTGTGGGCGTTGTCGGCCTTGTAGGCGTTTCCCTTGAAAAGTTTACGAACGGGAGAATGTTTATCACTGATACTGCACAGTTAGGCAGACGGACGGATGGACAGACAAAAATTCTTAGGTACACTCCAAATTTGAAACTGCCTCAGAACTCTAAATAATTTATGGGGTCTTTGAAGCTTGTTTCTTTTTCTTATAAAAATATCGAAAATAAATTACTTTTTGACGCATTATAATATTGGATTGGCGTGCTTAATTTTTTCCATTTTTGTGCAGGTGCTGTAGCATCGCCCATACAATATGCGTCCAAATTTTTGTACATTTGTCTATTATAGATTGTGAGTAATGTACAAAAAACAAATTCTTATTCCTTTTGATAAACAGAGGTGCCCTCAGTTTACGCGCTGCTGAGCCCGTGTCTTTAGACCGATTTGGCCCATTTTCAAATCCCACCTACGTGCAAGAATTTCCAATGTTATTGCCGAAGTCTAAAGTCGATAGCTTCATCTTTGTGGCCAGGAGAATGTTTAGACATTTTGACAAGATGAACAAATCTCTCATCCTTCGTTGACGGGTATAAGTATATATGTATATATATACATATATATACACAAATACGTAAAACAAAAATCTATGTAAACATTCACTGTGTAGAGAATAGAGTCCCTGTATGCAAAAGGGTCATCGTATAGTGTCTGACTTGGAGTATTAGAAGCTCAGCTTAATTGTGGCCAGTTCGAGGTTGTTTTTGATGCAACTTGACGCAATCGCATGCCTAAAATCACCGAAATGAGTTGCTTAGTGAAATCGAAATTTATTATTTAATAAATGGCTTCTTAATAATCAATTCATTAATTGAACCCTACACAGGAACTAATGCAATGATGTGTAAATGATATTACTTGTAAAGATCGATTTTTAAAATGTGTGATAATAATAGAAAAAAAAAAGCATACCATTTGTAAGACAGTTAACGTAAATTATGTACTAATTGTCATTTACGATGTTATAATTGTTATAATAAATATAATTATTTTATTCATAAGCAAAAAAAAATTATGGTAAAATACTTACATACTTAATATGTTGTAAAAAGTATATTTGAGTTAAAACCGGTCACGTCAGTTGATTCGGGATCATTTTCAAGATGTATATGCAAAAGAGAAGAAAATAAAAATTCGAAAAATTGTAAATTAATTTTCATGTGACTAAAACAAAAAAAATGCACAACAAAAAATGAAACAAATAATATATTAATATAAAAAACCAAAAACTCGTTTATTACAAACTTAACATGAAATGAATATAAATACTGAAAATATATGATTAGTTGTAAACGAAAGTACTTGTTATTGCTTAATATTATTGATGCTCTGTTATTGCGATCGCTTTGTAATTAGCAGCTAATGTGGCTTGTTAACGCAACTGCGGCAGCTGTTTACGAGGTAAAAAGATCTTCTTTTACTTATTTAGCTGCACAATAACTGTCCTTGTCATGCTTTAATTACAATAAATAGTATAGTAGGTAGGTAGGTAGGTAGGTAGGCAGGCAGGCAGGCAGTGCATAAATATTGCGAAAGTATGATAATGAGGCATATGTGTTATTAATATTTTTCGGCTTTATAAGTAGAAAAGCTTATAAGCAAATAAGCGCATGTGTGTACGCAGTGTGCAGCAAGTTAATGTTCCAAATATGTGTTTTGCGTTTTGCATTCTACCACAAAGGACGCAAGTGCAGCAGGTTGAATGACTAAAAAAGAAAAGCAAGTTTTTCCTCGAAGGCGTTCTTTTTTTTGATCGAAATTTGATATTTACTCGATAATATACACGCATCAAGCGAAGCAAGGCACCCAGTTTAACCAAACAACAAGTTAGCCTTCGAGATAGTCAGACGAACAAATAGACAGACAGACAGGCAAGGCAACTAGAGTTGCTGATGTATGCCATGTCTAAAGCAGATGCTTGTCTCTGATGGTTTAATGTTAGCTCTTCACCGTTTGCCATATTTTGGAGGCACGTTGTAAAGTGTGTATGAATGGTTTTGCCACCTTTTCGGTTGCAACAAGATATATATTTATTGTTGATGTTGTAATTTGACTAGTGAGAGTATTATTATGTAAGTACTACTAAACCTTTTTATGTTTCTTTCGGAAAGTTGTTAAAAAACTGCAGCGAGTCACATTTTCATCAATAAACCAAACGTGATAAACGTCATGTATAACAAGTATTTCGTTTCGTTTATTTGTGCACTTGGTAGGGTAAAACACGAGTACTACACAGCTCGAAGGATGTAATTTAGAGTTTAACTGGAAAAGATCTTCGAATAAAACCAAATTATTTCGTATTAATGTCTTTTTATTCACTTTTAATCCGAAAGTAAATGCGTAAATGTATGAAAGAAAATTGCAAACAGAAGTCATTTCGATCTTTCAATTTAAGAAAAGGCAATAATATTATTAATCATTTGTCGGAGGGTATGTGACAGTTCTCTTGAATTATTTGTTTACATATATATATCGCTACGTACGTATGTACGTATGCAAGTCTTTTGTATTTGTCTGAAACAATGGCATTGAATTATGGCAATAAATGTATCTTTAACTGTCAACAGTTTCACGCCCATTGTATTAATAATTGTGCAAAATCACAAATGGATTTTTAGGGTTTAGCTGGTGTGTCCTTTTTTTTATTTCGTATTACTTCAATTACGAAATATGTAGACGATGAGTGATAGCCCATGCAAATACCACAGACTCGGAGCATTCGGTTAAAACAAATTTGAACACAAGACTAATGATAGCATTTATTAGTTAGTTTAACCAAAAGTATTGCTAATGAGTGCTTAATTGGCGCAATATGTGTATAGATATTAAAAAGTGATTTAGTAAAACAAGAGAGAGAAAGTGAGAGCGATAAAAGCAAAGAAAACAGCGAAGTTGCATTTGATCACCTAGAAAATATGGGGTTTTAAGGAGATCACAATTCACATATATATTTACTGTATTCGCTGAATTTTTCTTCAACATAACCGGCATATGTCATTTCTTTCTATTATTAAGTTTAATACTTTTTTGACGATATCACACGATACTTATAATAAATATATACGCGTAAAATAATTACAGAGATATTTCATACTTACACCCTGCTTACAGGAAGAAGAAGAATTATGAGAAGAGTAACGCAATGAGATTAGTTTAGAATCCATGTACAATATTCAATCAAGCATTCATTTAGGGTGAGCAGCGAAAACCCCAGAAAGATATTCAACAAATGTAGTATCCATCCGTTTGTTAAGAGTATTTAGTCGCAGCATATTAAAATGATCATTCGTTATTGTGACAAATCGTAGTTATATTGTTGGTTTTAATAGGAGGAGGGTTCAATGCATCGTTCAATGTGTGTGTGGAATCAATGCATTTGTCATTTTGGCAATTAATAAATATATGAAATGATATGGCATTTCAACCGTCAACATCGCCATCACCATAATCATCGTCATGGTGGTATATATACAGCCAAGTAATCAACCAATCAACCAACCAACCAATTATTCCATCCGAACATGCATTCATTTATGCATTTAATGTTGTTGTTGTTGAAAAGTGTTCGGACAGAAGCGTTTCGCACGTTATTGCATTACCAGCAGGCATTTGAATTGATAGTGCGCCAAGAAAAAGGTGCGGTGCAGCCATATTAAGCGTTGTTATCGTTTTAAGCATATACATTGTTGTTGTCGAATCATTACCACCATCATTATTATTATCGTCGTTATAAGATGAGTTGATTTGCAAAGTATCATCCATTAATGAGCAGTTGAGACGATTAGTCGTATGTACGATGCGGTTATTGTTCCACGATTATATGGTTGTTAACGTTTTTGTTTTTCATGTCGGAAATATAAAGATTTTATGCTTAGATAAATGAATGAATTTTCTTAAGAAATAAATATGAAAGTACAAAAAAAAAAAAAAAACATAAAAAATTGAATTAACTTAAACGAAAAATTTCGTCATAAGTCACCATCAATCTTAGGATATCGTAACTTAAGATTGTTGGTAATTATGTGGCACGAATCTATTTACTATACTAGGCGGTGAGTGAATTTAAATTTAAATGCACACTTCATATCATTTCAATATCTTCGTATTTCTTTTTTATAACCATCATCGAAGGATAAGAGGTATATTCATTTTTGCCAAAACATTTGCAACGCGCAGAAGGCAGCTTCAAACATCACACAAAGTGTATATGTTCTTGATCAGCATCCAATTCAGAACTGTTTTAAACGTGCCCGTCTGTGTAATGTATGTTATAAACATTCTCCTGGCCACAAAGGTGAAGCTATTGATTTTAGATTTGGCAATAACATTGGAAGTTCTTGCACACAGCACCACGTAAACTGGGAAAAGCGCTACTCGGTCCGGACCGAATTTAATTTTCTTACTTGTTTTGCTGTAGAACTGTTTTTCGTTCTAAGAAAAAAATTTTAATATTTGTAATAAATTTTTAAAATGAATAAAGAAAAAAATTATTATAGCGTTCGGTTAAGTGTGTTTAGTTGGAACACTATAGTCAGGCAAGGCTGACGATTTGATACCCAATACTACTACTTCGCGTTAATGCAGTTATTCATTCAATTTCTCTCTCATACGCTAAACATATTGCATTATTTTTATATAAAGGTACACTTTTCATGAAAGCCATTATATTGGAGGATGCTCAACACGTTAACGAACGTATTCCAAACTACAAATTAGACTTTCTCGCTGTAGAAGGGACGCTCTTCGTGCAAGGATATGCAGAGGGCAAAATTAGTCGAGTCAAAAAAGTTGAATTGTATTATTCAAACGGACAAGACAAGAGGAAGTATTGTAAATACAAATTGCTGTAAGTAATTTGTGAATAGATTTCCGAAGAATTTTAATTAAAATTTATACTATCCTAAAAATTACAAATCAGTGATTCGAACTTAATCTCCAAACAAGTCAGATAGTATTCGGAAGTCAGAAGTATTTCATCACAATCCTTGTGTGGAACGATGTCCAAAAAAGAGATTTAAATGATCCAAATTTTATATACTTATGTTCCATATCAAATTTCTTATACGAACTAATTTAATCATTA